ACATTGCAGGTGCATTGTTACACCAGAGCTGTTTCACTTCAAATTCTGACTCTGAACATTTTCTAAATCCACTTTGAGAATACATGTCGGTTTATAAAGTTTATACAGTGCCGCTGTTTCTGCTCTTCAGCTCCACTGCACAGACAGGCAGTGTGTATAAATTTTGCCGACGTCAATCACGATTAAGAAGCAATAACATGGATAATCTTGCAGAGGTTTATGGTGAAAGATGAGGAAAAGACCACTGGAGTTGAGCCATGACACAAAAATGGCAGTAACTCGATCTTCCTCTGTCTCTTTCTGTCTCTCTTCCCAACAAACACACACACAGGCACTTGCACACAAGCAATGAACTGTTTAACCATCCTGGTTTAATTTTGCTCTATTTTAAGCATTCACTTCTGCTCTCCCATGACTAATGATGAAGCAACAAGCTTGTGGGCCAAGTTTACGCACCAGGATTAACTTGATTTTGATTCGTCTTCTCATATATTGATAATAAACTGTGGAACATGCTGAACTTTAACTCCCACGACATCTTGGTGACACAACACTGGTTATGATTATCAACTGCAGGTGCTTGAGCAGAAGTACATGCAAGAGTGTAGGTTTCATTTCAACACTGGGGGGAGGGGGGGGGGGGAATATGAAATGGGGGGTTTGGGGGGGAACTTTGGGGGGAAATTTGGGGCATCAAACACTTATATTTCTGCATTATGGTATTTTTTTCATGCACCAATTTTTGCCTTTTCTGCATCAAGTAAATAAAAGTCCTCTGCTGATTTCGTGTTTTTATTGAGGGGGACAAATGTTAAGGAGGACATGTCCTCTGAGTGCTGTCAGAAATCTATGCATATAGGTATATGAAGGCACGCAGTTAAGTACTGGGCCCCTCTTTTGCACTTCCAGCAGTCACACGAGGCCACGACTCCTTAGCGGGGTTCATTCATGCACACAACACTGCGTACTGGGGATGTCGAAAGCACTCCATCAGCTTGGAGTGGACATCTGACATTCCCCAAAACACTGTCAGATATCAGGTTACATCACCGGCAAACATGCAGTTATCTCACTGTGATTGACTCGATGCTGCAGAGGAGGCCTGGGAATAAGAATGTGTAATGGGAACAGTCTAATTTTAACTGTATTGTTCCACAGTGGAGAGTGCCAGGAGGGCAGTTTGTGGTAGAGTCTTCCATTTGCCATCTGTAACCGCTTTAAGAAAATAGAAGCAACTGAAAAGGGGAAAACTGAATGTGTACAAGATAGCAGCTATCTTTGTGACATTAAACCACACGCATCTCATGTCTCTCAAATACTGCAGCAATTAACACATCAGTGAGACTTTGTCCTCTCAATAACTCTCGAAGTCTCTAAATCTGTGAAATTAAAACTGTCAGCTCTAGTGGCTAATCAGAAACAAACCAAGAAGTAACAGTCAGTGTGACATGATAGAAAACACTGCTTATTTAAATGAATATATTAATTCCACATCTATTAATTACAGCACCACTCAGTGTTACCTTTTTTGCCTGTCTTCTTGCGCATCCTCATTTTAGGGAAAGAAGGCCAGGAGTAGTTGAACGGAGAGTCCGAGTCAGAATCCATGATTTGCTATCTTCAAGAAAATCTTCATCCAACCAGCTCAGGGTGTTTGATAAATAAATGAACAGCGCCTCAGTTTACATCCATTTCCCAGTGGCTGAACAGACTGCGGACTAGCTGCAACGTTCACTCTCCTTTTTCCAGAGCCTCGCTGTAGACACTCTGACACTTCAGGAGTGAGCCAGCATGTTCCCCTCTGTCTCCCCCAGCCACCCCTCCCCCTAAAATCCTCCCCTTCCCCCTCGACAACTCTGCACCAACTGTCCAACAGAGCCGGGACCGAACCTTGTCTTTTCCCTCTGCTCTTTTTCCTCAAGTTTTCTCTCTATCTAGCACTTTTTCCTTTCTTTCTGACTGCTCTTCTCAAATCTATGTGTCTCTACAGTCAGTCTCTGTCCCCCTCAGTCACTCATCTACCACACACAGTACAGGGGGAGAGGGAGAGGGAGAGGGATCAACACATGCTGACAGGAGCAGGGGGGAGGAGTATATTGACTGCCGGAAAGAGTGACTGAAGGAGGGAGAGAAACAGACAGAGACAAAGTCAAACATAGGAGTGACTTCAGAACCTTCAGCAAAGACAAACATGAGGGCAGACAGCTTAGCAGAGGTGAGTCTCAGACTCGGGAGAAATCATTAACCCTGTGAGTTCATGATTGTCTCAGAGACATGCCAGGCTGCAGAGCTGCGAGCAATGCTCCCCAAATATGTCTGATGCCACGTCTGAAGAGAGTCCTTCTCAATCACTCCATTCTCGCGGTCTCTTTCTCTATATTTTAGCATGTCAAAGCCAAGCTGAGGGGGGAAAGGGGTTCGGAGCGTGGAGGGGGGAGCAGTCTGCCAGGTCAGCAGCCTCACCATGGAGACAGCAGTAAGAGCCGCTGCTGTTTTCTTCTTCCATGCAGTTTTTTTCTCTCTCCCCTTTCCCTCCTCTTGCCAACTTGCAGGAGTACAGTGCTCCATTTGCAGCAGCGAGGAATAAAGTAAGTTTGGCTAGAGGTGGTAAAAGTGACAGAAAGGGATGGTGAAGGGGGTTTAAGAGACAAATCAGACAATGGCACTGTGGAAAGACGCCAAACACGGGTTTATAAATGCAATAAATGAAGGAATGTGATAAAAAAGGAGAGAAAAGAGGGATGAGAAGGGTTTTGTAGGCAGAATATATGCAGAGGAGGAAAACAGAGGTACACTGAGACTATAGAAAGTAGTTTGTGTGTGTGTCTGACGATGTGTGTGTGCATGGGGAGGGGTGTTGGCACTGTACTAGTGAACATTAATGCTGCCTTTGTGGGGTCTGTGTGAGGTTTAAGCCTTTTTTCCGTTCTCCAATTAGATCCCTCAGCCGGGGTCGGAGACTCTTGTTAGCGTTCCCGGCGATGTGCTCATCGTCTGTTGTCACCCTGCCAAACTATCCATATCATAAATCCCTTTCTCTTGCTCACTCTCTTTTCCGCTATAACACACGCACACGCACACACACTCATCCACTCTTCTCTCCCTGGGGATCTCAACAGGCTGCTGTAGAACTGCATTCAGTAAAGCCCTGGCAACCCCCATTCAGCCACAAACACCCCCTTTTTCACTTCCCCATACCCCTTGCCCCCTTCAGAGAGCTCTTCCCAACCGCATTCTCCCTCTCAAACACACAAGTGTACACACACACACACTGACAGCACACACACACACACACACACACACACACACACACATCGACCTCCTTCCTTTCTTCAGCTGTGGAGAGCAGAGCTCCTCGGGATGAAGTGGCATTTGCTGTTTGTTCACTAAACTCACATCAAAATGCTGACCTGGGAGGATGGGACTCGGGGGCATGGGTGCATGAGTCTGTCTGTTTGTGCATGTATGTAGGTATTTGGGGGAAAGTGTGTGTTTTGGGTGGGGTATTTGAATTTCGGGGGCATTATGAGGGCAGAGGTGGGGGAAGAGGAGAGAGGCGAAGGATGGAGACAAGAGAGAGAAGCTTGTCTTTTCTTAAAAGCTTTTCTGACTTTTACACTGACACTGCAAACCTTGTACAACCTGCTACAGCACATCTGCATGTAATTACAGTGATGGCGGTGAAGTTTAAGTCCTTTAAATTGGAGAGAGGAAAGAGCTGACATCAAGAAGACAGGGGGAACATGACAGCTACCCTCAAAATTCCTCATCCCTCGCTGAAGCTCTGAATACAGAAGTTCTGTCTGTCTATTTGATGACGCATTAGCTCAATGATAAAAACAGACTGGAATCGCAGTATATGCTTCACTTCTTTGTTAAAAAAAATAAAAACCTGCCAGTCACTCGTTATGCCCGACAGCTTAGGAATGTCTAATGAGGAACTGAAATTCCTCAAAGGTCAAATAGGCATTGTAATCCCGGAATAAAAACATGTAGAAATCCTTAGTCACTTTCAGTCTGAGCTATTTTTTTTTTTTATTTTGAACATGGCATTGAGGGGAAACTGCAGAGAAAACAGTATTCTAGTGACCAGCATTATTCATCAAAACCACAAAAAAGTGTTTGAAGGGACCAGTCGAGGTCACAGGCATGTGGTCATCAAAGACCAGAAAATGTGAAAATCCTCAAGCAGCCAACACACACACACGCACACGCACACACACACACACACACACACACACACAAATACACATATGCACACTGAGAAAATGGCTAAACCATATAGCATGGAAAACAACACCAGCCACAGGAAGTTCAGATTGCAGATGTCCAGTGCCAAGTGTTATAAAGCCTGAGGCCTCAGCTTGTAACCGCAGCATTCTTACACTGAGGCATCAGTCTGCTCTGCAGCAACATGAGCCAATTATTAACCCGCAGGATGTTCCCACTCTCAAATCCGTCCATTCCCATCCAGAAGCAGATCAGCGTAAAGCCACCTTGGGCCACATAGTAAGGATTCATTTCTGTCCCCCCATCAATGCTGGCAGGAATAGGATGACGCAGGATTGTTCTCTACATGTCGCATTAACAAGATTCCTTCTCAGTGGCCTAATCACTGTAAACACAGAGTGAAAAGACTCCAAAAACTCCAGAGGGAGGGGGGGCAAGAGAAGCCAGGGGGCTGAAATGTGATCCTATAGTCCGTGGGGATGGTAGACAGCCATAGTCGAGAGGATTAGAGTTGAGTTCCAAGTTCTGTTCAGGAAAGGAAACGTTTCCTGCAGTTGGACTCACTTAATGATTAGAAGCTACTTGGATAACTTCCTATGAATATAACGCCACCTAAAACAACAATGATCACTTTCAGTCTGCTCAAAACACGATCTGCAGCTGAGGCACCGCAAACTCTAAAATTAAAACCATATCTAAAAGCAGGCTTCTGAGAAAGGAACCTCGCTCAGACGGGAAGTTTAAAAGGACTTTAAAAATAAAATCCTTACCAGAGTCAGACTGCGATGGGTTGTCCTCCTCGTCCACTTCATTCAGGCAAAACATCAGCGGCTCCTCATAGTCCTGAAGCAACAGAAGAGCTTTCACTAAGCAGCAGGCACATTTCCACAGTGAGCCTTTCTCATCAGGCTACAAGCACGCCACGAAAAATGAAGTCGAGCTAAGTACAAAAACACAAGTGCCTAGGTGTGTGACAGAGAAGGATCAATTAGGTAACCATCTGTATCACATAAAACAGCTCCTATTGGATGACCAGAGTCATGTGCACATGCCACACCTCTCAAAACATGAAACACACACTTGACTGCTCACAAAGTCCGCCATTCAGTGGCGTGTGCAAGGTGCCAACTCCAACACCTTAACAATAAAAGTGAAACAATGTGGAGCATTGAGAGGCAGTTGGTGCCACAGCCTGATGCAGATGTTGATGGAGATTAAATGGAGCTTTGAGAGTTTAAAATGTGAAAATAGATATCCAATTTTTTTAAGTTGCACCTGTTGTTGGCAGAAAATTAGGAATCTTTTGGAGGGATAGGTTGTGATTTATGCTTATAACTGGCTCATCTCATCAGAGAAAGCGCTGTAAAGGAACACGTCATCCTCCAAATAACCAAAAAATCCTCATGAATTGGAGTCACAGGGGTCCACAGTTTACAAGAGCAAAACTATATCAAGACATTCATTTACAACCTCTTACACAACTTGTGCAGTATAATCTCAGTCTCATTTATCCAGTTGTACACTCAGTACTGCCCAAACAGACGGCCCCTTCCGACCTTGAACTGAAATAAAAAAACTTATCTTTGCTCTCTTCAAAGCCAAAATCCATTGACAAATCATTTATTTTAGCTTGCTGAACACGGGAGCTGCTGGTCTTCCACTGCCTTGATCATTTATATTCACTGCATTAATCTTCTCTTGACTACTGCAACTCTCTGTACAGGTGTGTCAGCCAGTCATCTTTGTCTCGCCTGCAGCTGGAGCAGAATGCTGCGGCGAGACTCCTCACTGGCATCCCTGCACTGGCTACCTATCAAATACAGGATTGATTTTAAGGTTCTTTTATTTGCTTTTAAAGCCATACATGGGCTGGCACCCCAGTATATTGCTGGACGTCTTTGCCCCTACCACAACTCCCAACCTCTTAACCTCTTGTCCCATGATCGAGGCTGGTGGGTAAAGGAAGATTGGCCTTTGCGGTAGCTGCCCCAAAGCTTTAGAATAGCCTTTCACTTGTAATAAAATGCTCCATCTCCATTGACACCTTTAAGACAAATCTTAAAACGTACATATTTTCAATGGCCTTTTTTGTTCGTAGTGGTTTTAATCTTTTTTTTCCAAGGTATGTAATTGTTCTTACTGGTGTTATTTTGTTTTATATTTGTGTACAAGTTATATTGCTATAAATCTGTGTGTCATTGTTTTAATTTGTACAGCACTTTGGTCAGCTGTGGTTGTTGATTTGATTTGATTTTGTTTGTGTTATTATGTGACTGGTGAATCTGAGCTAACCCTTTAAAACACCAACAATGGACAAGTTGTGCGAGAGTGTGTAAGCGGATGTTCTGATATCGTTGATATAGTTTTGCTGCCTGTCACTTAATATTAATAAAGAATTTTCTCAGTTTTTTTTAATTCTTTGTTCAAAGAAGGCATGCAAGAAAAAAGTTTAGTCTAGTTTCCTCTGTATTCTTTTAACAAATGTGAGATTTACAACATGCATAATATATATCCTGGTCATATTTCGGTCCACAGCTTCCTGCCTATATGAAATATTACATCAAATACTCACATTTTCTTCCACTGCAGCTCCGTTGATATCAGAGTACAGTGCTGTAAGAGGAGAAAACATACTCAGATGCACACATACAGCAGCTATTAAACTTCAAAAGAGGCTCAAGTAAACACAGATGTTTGTCAGTTTTTAATGATGTATGTGCCATGTAAAAACTCTTTTTTCATAACTTGGGGAGATCTTTACCGTGTGGCCTTTCCTTTCCTTTCATTTAAGATCAAAGGACACGGTGTATGATTGCTTACTAAAAAACAAAGCAGCAACGCCTAGAAATTAGTGTATGGGTGGTTTGATACAAAGCCTGGGGTCATGTAAAAATATAAAGGCATATAAATGTAGGAGAGGGAAGAGGCAGCGACCTATAAAGGATATATAGTTTGGGAGGGAAACTCAGGGACAAAATATACAAGAGAAGAGGAAGAACAAACAGTAAAGGCTGAGAAAGGAGAAGATGTAAAGTACTGAAAAAACTAAACAACAACTCTAATCTGACAAAGGTCTTTCTGTGCCTCAGTGTGATACCCTAAAACACATTCACTCAAGTCTGATACAGTGATGCCAGCTGGCTCCACAGCAAGAGGCAGAGAGCCAGAGAGACCGAGGGTACAAGAAAACAACCTTGTAAAGGAGAGGGTGACCTTCCAAAATTCATCCTTTGACTAACTAGATGTTCTATTTACATTTTTATTGATTATCTCAATTTATATACCCATGAATATTACTGACACGTGCATAGAAACAAAAGATGCTGCAATTTATGACTATTTTCATCATCCACTATCCGTTGATGATAAAATATTAGAAAATTTTAAAATAAAAAAAGCCCCGAGTCAAAGATAATATCTCCAAATTGCTTGTTGTAACCAAACAACCAGAGATGGAAGACGTATTCAGATCCTTCACTTGAGGAGAAGTACTGAAACCACACTGTAAAAACACTCTACAACAAGTTAAAGTCCTGCATTCAAAACCTTACTCAAGAAAAATCAGCTAAATGTACTTAAAGTATGAAAACGGAAGTATTCATTACGCAGTCAATTGTTCCCTGTCAGTGTTATACTATATATATGATGTTTATGGATTATTATCAATGCCATAATGTGTATGTTGCATTTTACTGTGGTTGATGTTTAAGGTTGTACTTCAAATCATGTCCTACTGTGAGAACCATCTATCAGAATCAGAATCAGAAATACATTATTGATCCCGAGAGGAAATTGGGATTTGTCACAGTCCCTCTGATGTAAAGAATAGAGAATTATAAGAAGTAAGAAAAAGAGTATGAAATAGAAGTGTGTAAATATAGAGTACTAAAATAAAAAAAAGAAATAAAAACGTGCATTATGTGCATTGTACTATCTCTAAAAGGTCAACTTTTCATGGTGTCAGAAAAACAGCCCTGTTTCCAGCTCTGTGATGATTCATTTTTCATCTGATCCACGACAGTTTTTTAAATTGGATTATCTAGATTAAGAAGTAGGGGAATTTTCTCAACACATTAAAGACTATCTCATCCTTCAGTTTATAAGAAAAGAAATCTAAATCACACATCTGAAGATGCGTGGTATTTACTGGACAGGAACAGGATGAAAAACTGTAATCTGAAAAGTCAGCAAAGCTATCAAATCAATAAAGTGGAGTAAAAAGCACAACACTTCCATCTGAGATATGGAGGAGTTGCATAAAATGGAAATACTCACATAAAGAAAAAGTACTTTGAATTACTATTTAATAGAGTAAATGTACTTGGTAACATCCCACCACTGCAAACATCACTTCAAAACAAAAATGTGGAATGTGGAATGATAAAAAGCAGAGGAAAGCAGTGAAGACATCTAAGAACCATTAAGTAATTGCCATTTTTCCTTGAAAAAAAATCAACCAATACCAACATTGTCTATCAATGAAATGACATACAAGTTGCCTACCTAATGGTTTCAGCACTAGTTATAAACATATAGCTTGCCTGCTCTGCAGGTTTGCACAATATACCAATGCAGGGATCAATATATTCCAAATTAAAACGCTGTGACTGACGTCTTTGTTTTCTTATGATAATATAACCTTGTCACAATTCACACAAGACACTAGAATTGTCTTTGATGAAACAGTTTGATTCTCTCACAAGAATATTTTACTTTAATCTACTCTTTTGCCCACTTTTATTTTGTTTTTTACAGACTTGCAATACCTTTAAACCGCCACAGGAGGGCAGCCAATGTCTATCAATACTGTAGCCTGATACAAGTCACAGTTTCAAGCCTGCTAAACCACTTCAGCAAAAAGTAACAGAGCATTGCAACATAAAAGAGAAGAGTTACAACTGGATGGTTTAGTTTAACCAGGCCTCTCAAATCCCACAAAGCAGACAGATTAGGAAGTGTATGATACCGTTCTCCGTAGGATCATCCACCAGCTCCTCCTTCCCGAGGACGGTCTCCACACGCTCCCTCCTTAGAGCTTTGATCTGTGGGAGGAAAGGTGATGTTTCAGTAGGAGAATGCAGATATGTGAAATTACACGGTCTCCAAGAGGCTTTATTTTGATCATACCTTCAGGTACATTAGTTACCAGGGGTGGACTGACAACAAGAAGCAGCCCGTGGATTTGCTGTCATGCCGCCCTAATGTAATACACATAATTAAAACTGACACAATGTATTTGCTGATCGATGAATCAAAAACACAGTCTGTTAACTTGTATTAATTGTCTTAGGACATTTTCCAGAGTTTTCCTCTCCATGTTTGTGTGTATAGAAAGAAAAATAAAAGTGAAATTAATGTAATGATCACCTGACCTTTTCAGTATTATTCAAAATACTGCAAACCAGTTATCACTATTTAAACACACCACTAAATAACAAACCAGCAGACTCTATAACACACAATATTCACAGTACATATTGACACAAAGCACTCTATATTTACAGCAAACTAAATACACATAAAGAACACTATATTTACAGCAAACTAAATTTACATAGAGAACACTATATTTGTGATTTTCTTTCTCAAGAGTAGGGAGTAAAATGTTGGGTTCAGGTCAAACATCAAGACACGTTTGGCCAAATACCTCAATATTGATATTGTGACAATACTGTAGGGTTGATTATTGGTGCTTTCACAAAATATTTACACAAGATTTTACTAGATAGCCATCAGTAATGTGGATGGAATAACTAAAGCTCTATTCACACAGGGCTAGTATTAACTGAAATTGAAATAACCCAAACGTCTGTATTCCATGCAGCCCATTTGCACAGGATAAGTGAAGTCTGTATGTTAGAGGCAAGATATGATGCACACAGTCATTTGTAAGTCCACTCTACACAACACAGAAACACTACACAGCACCACCAGTGGTGTTATACAGTGTTAACCTCCTTTTTCTCCTTTATAAATGTGGGTTGAACAAATAGAACTGATTACGCCACACACTGTCACGTCATCCATCTCATCATCTTTGAGAGTCCTGCACCTCAAATGCTACTCAAAACTTCTACTGGAAGAAAGGCCAAATTGAGGCACGGAGAACACAAAAAACCTAAATACAACCTTAAATCACAGAGATGCCGATTCCCACAGGACTAATATTATTACATGACCGCTGTGTTTGGTGAAATATGGTTGGTAATTTGTGGTGGAATTTTTAGTCCCCAGGCAATATTATATCCAATGCAAATGGGGCTTAAGTGAGTAAAGGCAAATATTAGAACAGCTAGAACAGTTTCTTAAGTTCAGAAAACTATATTACTTTACTGTAATGTAGCCTTACAACCAAGAAGAGACAACGCTTACAGTATTATGATATCCAAAATCTAAGGAGATACCTAGTCTTGTATCCCATTATCAATATATTGTCCAATGCTTGTTTTATATGTCTGAGCTCCTGACATGAATGTTACACCAGCCAGTAAAGCCTTTTTCTTTTTTTAGAGCACCTTCTCTGCACTGCCGGCCGCAGGTTTTGTCTTTCTCTCCATGTTTCGGCAACAAGTGCTAGATTCTTTCAGGTTCAGTTGTGATGGCAACTGCTACCTGCTATTGTGGATTGCACCAGCCGTGTTGCAGCAGCTAAGATGACCTATTGAATATCTGTATATAGGCTATAGAGACCTTTTCACTAAAAAATGCATTGCCAGGCAACAGCTAGGGTCCATGTGTACTTCCTGTCAGCTGGTGCCTTTCACATACGCTGCTAAACATTTAAACAGGAAATACAAAAAGACCTGTTCAGACTGTTTATGTAGTTCAGTGTATTGGAAACGGTCTACAATGCTGGGGTTGGGGAAAATCATACAAGACTGGCTCACTGGGAAAATTCCCAAACTTTCCAATGGCCAGTCTGCACATATTGGTTACAATATAAATACTATATAAGTAACTATATAATATGGATGTTTATCTGAATACCTGATCATACCTCACAGTGTTGTCTATCTACCTATACTAGCACCTGACAACACTGATACTCAAACTCACCTCTCTGAGGAAGTCCTCATCTCTGAGCCGGTCTCTGAGAAGCAGGATGTCAGCGTGCCGGCTCTCCTCTGAGCTCCACCTCAAGTTCTGGCGGACGGTCAGAGTCAGGTTCCCCGTGTCATGGCAGAACCTCAGCAAGCGGGACCGGTCTGCCCACACCTGAGACAGACCTGCTGGCGGCGTGGCCAGAGGGTTGGGTGGGCTGCAGCACAACAGGTGGATTAGTTTAACCACAAATCACAAACAACATTAAGGTTGAGAATATCGTTTCTCTCATTACAAATTAAAATAGAAAGACAGCAGGTTATATGAATAAATCTCTAAAAGCACTGTCAGAGCAGATGATAGCATTTTTCTTTTTAGGTCATGTTAACCGGACTATAAATCTGTGCTAATGATTTATGGATCCAGATTGAGCACAAAACATTCTTGAGTTTGACAGGTGTTCATAAGATGTACTTCAAGTATATTTACAGTATTTGAGAGATCTAAAGAATGCAGTGTGGCGTCTGCATGTTTTCCCTGTGCTTTCCCCGTGTTTCCTATCATAGTTCAAAGACATTAGGTTTGGTTAAATGGTGCCTCTAAATATGCCTGCAAGGTATATATATGCGAGCTTAAATGGTCATCTGTCTTTATGTGTCATCCCTCTGATTGACAGCTGACCTGTTTAGGGTTTTACCGGTCTCTTACCCTGTGTGAGCTGGGATTGGTTACAGCCCCCTGGGACACTCTGAGGATAAGCAGGTGTAACTAATGAATAGGGTGATTGCTAAAACTGGGCTGTTTCTACATTTGAAGCAAAGCTTTCTGTCACCATGTGTGGGAAAGGTCTGCACTGCACGCATAATGTTACAGCAAAACAGTGATTCATTTGTCAGTGTCGCTCCCTGTTGGAGCTTATAGTCTTACTGTGTGAGCAGCTCCAGGAGCTCGGTGTTGCCTGCCGTCTGTGCCAGCTGCAGCGGCGTGACTCCCTCTTCGTTTGGCAGACTGACAGCCATCAGACCCCCCGGCTGACACAGCAGCAGCTCTGCCAGCCGATACAGACCCCATCTCACTGCCAGGTGGAGGGGAGACTCTCTGAGGCTGTGCTCTGGCGATCAGGGGGAGAAATATAATAACGTAAAAAGAAACCTGCAGAGATAAAAGTATGCAGTGGGATCTGAGTCAGCTGAATGGAATTAACAGTGAGATGGGAACAAACAAGCGTGTGGTGGAAAATGAGATAAATAGGAGGAAACTAACATGTCGACAATTCCGTCTTGATAACCACCTACTCATGATAATTAACCTAAATGTCAATGATTGATTTCTTCTCTTGCACAGCGCTGGATCTCTCTGCTCCACTGACCCACTTTAAGGCAATAAAAGCTTTTCGACAAAGCAGCGACAGCTTCTTATTTCTGTTCCTGCCACTCAACACGGTCCAACAATATCTGTATCCAGGTAACTGGCCTGCACCTAATCAGCTACAGTCAAGCAGTGAGTAAGCTTGAAAATGTACTACTGCATTTTTAAAAAATATTTGTATATAATCTGGGCATTTCTTGAGGCTTAAAGTTTTATCATTCAAAAGGAAAAACAGCCACAAAGTCAGCACATTGCAGCCATGTCAAGAGAAAATGCAATTTTACTTTGAAAACCAATTTATTGTGTTTCTATTGAGGTTACTTTATAGGATACAAACAGACAGAAACTGGTGAATCCAAAGCCAGGCTTTATTTACAGATCAAAAAGGCTCCACTTCACTTTCTCTATTTGTCCAAGAATATTCTGCATCCAAAGCCCATCAGGGTGCAGGCCTTGTGAGCTATAAAGACAGATTTCACAAGATAACACTTTTGCCAGCTGCATTAAAAATGTCAGTGCTCAATATTTCAGAGCTGTACTCGGTCCACAAAGAACACAATGATGCCAAGCTGCAGTGAATGTGAATAAATGTCTTTTGATTTTGTGACAGAATGAGGTTTTGCTAATTTTTTCCAGTCCTTTTAAAAATGCAGAATATTGTGCTATAAACAAATGGTAAGCACCAAAGGAAAAATAGAGATTTAGTCAATCACATACAGCATCGGTAGCAGAATGACGTCACGAGCAGTGTTATCAAATTAACTGCAGACATTTAGAGGGAGACGCTGCAATGAAACAGACTGCCTTAACTATGTTAATGCTAAATCTAGTTTGTTATTTATGTAGGTGGCCCTACACAAACACTCAGATCATAGAAACAGATGGTGGCATCTAGTAAACATGATGGTCAGCACACCCACATATGCACACTTGCCCTCAGATTTATTAAGCTCTGCCGAGGGCTACTTCCAGAAGGAAAGGCTCTATTAACCACATTACACGCCGCTTAATTGGCTTTGATGAATTTAACAGAAGCACACATGTGACCATGTTCACTTCCGATTTTAGCCCAGTGAGCATGGAAAATGGGAACGATGGTGGAGAAGAAGGGGGGGTGGAGGGGAGTTGAAGAGTTCACCTTCCTTTGGTAGCACTGGCTCCAGGTTTCCAGAGCAATGCTGAGAGATGAGGTTATGACAAAAACTGTCTTCAAGAATTTATGTTCAGAAATTGATGTGCAAATAATAAAATAAAGTAAATGCCTCTTTAAACAAAACTGCATCTGTCTTTAAACCCAATTAAAACACTCTAACCTTCCTCATCTGCCAATTTGCATTACAAAGTTACATATTCATCTATTATATATCCATTGTGCACTGTTTAAACATTTTATAATTTCAAAGTGTTCACAGATGTTGTATAATAAAAAAACAAATATGCTTTTGATCAACATATCTGCGCAGGAATGCCCGTTCAGCGAGATAAAATAATCCCACTCTCACCTTCTCCACTGTTGCTCCCCAGTACATTCCAGTTTTGGGGGATATCCAGATTGGCCATGGCCAAGGCCACGCGACGATCCATAGCCCAGCGAGAGCTCTCCTGGCCCAGGTTGAAGAAGCTGCTCAGCTCCTTGTGATCCGTGGAGCTCAGGCAATGTCCGTGGATTACCAGGTGCTCTGCCAGGTCCTGAGAAAGAAGCAGTCATGAATAAGATACAATCTGTGATAACTGGTGTGCAATACAAAAACCAAGCAGTGTCCAAACTACCTCTGTGCAACAGAGGTGAGAGTATTAGGGCCCGTGGACGGAAGTGCCAGGGGCCCAAAGATCCCTGGCACTGAAAGTATGAGGAATTGTTTTTGAAAAGATATTTACTCTGCTGTGGTATCACATATTTTTGAGGGGCTTGGGATGCTTGAAAACTCATGAAAAATTTTCCCACATGCCAGAACTGGTGAAAATTTTTAAAACCCCACCTATAGGGTCTATCAGATAAGTTTCAAATTTGGTTGGTATAACTGTCGGACTATTGTGACACTAAATTGCGAAATAATGATGCAATAGATCATGTGACAACACTCCATTTTAGGCACTTTACAAGTACAGAACTTTTTGAACCTTCATGATGCCAACAGTGAAGCTTTTGTGTTGTCACGGAACAACGTGCCATGGCGAGGCAGGCCATTGTAAGCTGCTGTAACTTGACTTTGCATAGTCAAATCTGCCCCAGACTTCACATGCTGGATCAGAGTCCAGTCCTGAAGACATTTACGTGCCCATATTGACTCAGCATCATAGCAACACCTAGCAATAACAGGAAGTCAGCCTTATGTGACAGCGATTATCAAATTTGCATGAAATTTACAGGTTGTGGTCTACGCATAACATCCAGCAACATGACATTTAATTATTGTGTGTTCTCTAGAACCACAGTGATGTGGTACAAAGCTTGCAACACGTCATTTCCAGCACCTCACACTCCACACAGTAATTGTCAAAATCATTGGCGTGGTTTGAAAAAGTCCTGGAAATGCACAGCTGCATTGACCAGCATCCTGCCAGAACCCCAATGTATGGGATGATTCAAGGGCTCTTTCATTAAAAACAACATACTTGGAGAATTTCATGACTTGACAGAACAGTGTAATAATTTGCACAGCATGAATAGCACAAACAGGTCATTTTTACCATAGGGATGCACAAACTTAGATTCAGTGTAGTATAGGATCATATTTGGGCATCTTCCCTACCTGAGCATCATCTTGGACATACTCCAGTGTGGCTCCGCCCACCCAGATAAGGGGTGTGGTTTCAGTGATCAGGTAGGCCTGGACAGAGACCACCTCAGCCAGGTTATGTCCTACAGAGGAACACAATGAAACAAAAGCCAGACTTTACTGAGGACAGATTTATATCTCTTTGTATGAGAAAGAACCGTTATATAGTGTGAGATCCATGTAGCCTTTGTTCTCTCTAATTTCTGCCTAATTCTGTGATAAGGCACAGGTTGAAACTGCGTTCTCATGCAACTACGATACAAAAGACAACATGATTGATCAGTTATCTCAAACATGTTTCAAGCCAGTGTCATATCATGAGCTGAAATTGACGGCCACCTGGGTGCAAAAAGATCTAGAGTCTCTGATAAATTATTGAAACTAATTAAAATCATACACAGTTTGTAGGTTTGTACATGCTAAAAATACAAAACCAGTAGTATGGTTTTTGAAATATAGCTTATATATTCTAGCCCAGAGCCTAAGCACATTAGAGAATCACCGAGTGTGTGAGATTTTCATTTCGTATGCCGATAAAGGCATTTTTTTTCTTTTCTTTTGATGGAGAAGGAGACCTGCTTTTAATAGTCCAGCTATTGTCGAGAGTGCTCGAGCCTGCAGGACTGCCGGCTGTCTGTGTCAACCTACACAGAGGCTCGGTAATGTTGACGTATTGTTTATGGAGCTGTTTCCCTCCTGAGAGGAAGCTGATAAGATTCTGTGCTTTTCCAGACCTCAAGTCACAGACTGTGTAGTGTGTATGTTGTATAAGTGTGTGTGTGTGTGTGTGTGTGTGTGTGTGTGTGTGTGTGTGTGTGCAGACAGATTCAGACAGTGATATACTGTTCTTGAGTATATCACAGACAGGAGTGGGAAACCGGGGATTGTCAGGATGTGCTGTTCAATGTCTGAATGGTTTTCGAAATAAATTCTCCCCTTTTGATGTATAACACGGAAAATTACCCCAAAATACGTACAGTAACACAGCAAAACAGTACAGATCATATTTGCATACACATGAACATACCAGGTACTATAAAGCAGAGCATGACATCACTCTGCGCCCTGGTGACATGAACTAGTGTGGATCCCTCCAGAACAACGTAGACCTCTGCATCCTCCGGCACCGAGTCTAAACCCTCCAGCAATGCAAAAACCTTCGCCTGGCCCTGAGATAAAGACAAGTGAGAGAAGTTGAGAGCAAAATAAAAGAAGAAAGATTCTAGAGAGCAAAACATATTACTATTCCTAAAGATGCAGGCCTATTTTAGAGTAAAGACTCTTTTCTGATTCAGTGTTCTACATTTCTGTAAAGAACACCAAATCCCCTGACAGCATGTCTCTGGAGGATACAATAAAACACTCCCCTCAATAAAAACAGGAATGCCTTAGTGTCTGCCGCAAAGACCTGCTCTGATCCCATCAGGCCAGAACACTTTAGACTTCTGATCTGAGGTCGAAATGGAGAGCTGATATGTAGAGTGATTAGTAGCCTTTAAAAACTTTGTGCAGGTCAAATGTGGGTGTGTGATGTTATATGAAAGACTTAGTTGACTCTACAGCCTCACTTAAGAGGCCCGGGTTGAGCTGTTAAAGTTCTAGGTCACTGATTTATGTAGGGTTAAAGTCTTTTGATACCTAAAGGAATAAAGTACCTGAGTTTTGATACCACTACCAGAATTATTCTTTTATGGATACTTTTTAGGGCAACATAGTTAAATGCAGCTGTGCAAGAACTTTGCCAAAACAGTCTAAAACTTACAGTTTTGATTTCAGTCTGGACCTATCAAAACAAATCATGAATAAAAGTAATCTAACGAGACATTAAATCGCTGCTTTTGCTACTGGTATCATCAATATGAAGGACTACAGGCATATTTCAACTGTTAACACCCAGTCATGTGCATATTATGCACAAAAACCTTTATATTAAAGATCCAATGAGCTGTTAAAAACTACGGAACTTAAGAAAATGTAATTAGCACCTAGGTATATTTGTGTGGTATTAGTTTCACAAAACCATTACGTAAAAAACTATAACTTTACATAGATATAGTAGCATGTCCAGTGTAAAATGTGCAGGGGAACATAGCACAGTTGGTAGACATAGCGTTTCAAAGCACTCACAACTGAAACTCTAGGCTATTAATACACCTGATATAAAGTTAGCTGAACTGAAAAAAATTAAGGGTAGACAGTGCAAGCTCTAAATAAACACGTTCGCATTATACATGCTGCTCATCTTTGACGTATCGGCCGCAGAGATGTCTGCCCTCATTCGAATATAATGGAACTAGATGGCATTTGACTTGTGGGGCTTAAAGTACATTTGAAAAACTCAACAGCAATGTCTCTTTCCAGAAACCATGACCTGGTTACTTATGATAATCCACAGACCTTGTTGTGAGAAGTTTAATGAAGGAAGTATTTAAAGGAAGGATGAAGGAAGCGTGCATCTACAACTGTACGAATGGAAAGTGACTAAGATTCAACCCAAACAGTGACCAAAACATTATCTGAAAGAGAAGCTAGAAGAGAAAGCTTTGTAGAGCTGCTGAGAACTGCCATGTCTGGTAATAATTATCTGTTGTTTGTCACTATGAGCAACACACTCCACAAGGTCCTTTAACTCATTGTTAATATAAAAATATTGATTAGAGCAGCTTTAAACATTTTGGGGCCAACTATGTTGTTTGGTTGTGAACTTTCCTTCTGTGGATTAACGGCTGCAGTATATCTAACAACTGTAGCTGGCAGCTGAATTTGAAAGCAGAGTTCTTGCAATTCAAATATCAAGACTAAACATCTGCTTTTAATATCAGTCTCTCAGACTAAAAACTAAATCTTCCAGGACCACTAGCTTGCTTTTTAGAGCAGCCGTTCTCAACCAACATCCAGCAGTCGCAGGGGAAGAAATCTATTGTAGATATCAATTTGTCCACCTACAGTGGCCTCAATAGACCAGACAGCGATGCAGCCACAAGACACCCTGTGTGGGTTATTCTGGGAAACAAATCAAACTGCCTGAGTGAGACAGGAGTAGAGGAGACAGGTTGCAGGAAAGACAGTGCACCAAAAAATGTTAATTATAAGGCTTCACTTGAGATGCAGTGAACATCACAGATTAATGTTGGATTGTGTCAGAGTGAGGATGTTGTTTTTTTTAAGTAACCTCTCTTTTTCTCGTGAGAGTCTATCTATTAGCATTGCATCACCTCAACAGCTGACCCAATTTCTCACGCTATAAAACTCAGAGGCTTTTCTCTTTGATTCTCTCGCTGCCTCAGAAAGAGACACTGTGAGTAATCCTGCCTCCATGTCTCTCCGTCTCACCTAATCCCACCTTCAGGTTCACTTATCCATTTCTTTATCCCTAGTCGGCTATTCTTTGACAGAGAGAACGCCAGGTTTACCACCAAATTTATGTCTGGCTTCTCCTGTGCCCTCATTAAGCCTCCTGACCTCTGTGTGATTGACCAGATGCTGACCATGAAATAACAAACTTTTATTTTCCAACGTATACCTACAAAACTAATTTTTATTAACCTCAGCTATATTTTTATATTTAGCATCAGCTAGCAAATGTTAACGATATACTAATCTTGTTAATTCAGAAAAATGAGACTTTACAGGATTCTCCTGTTAAAGCTGGGGTAGGCAGTTTCATTTTGTTGTCATTGGACAAACACACAATAATAAACTTGGAGCATATTGTAAATCAAGTGGACTGAGAGAAAACTAGACTTCTGCAGCTCCTCTTGACTCTGTTTTTAAGACTTTAGAAATTCTACACCATGGCGAGAGACAGGTCATTTCACAGAGACGGCGTTCCTATTGGCTGTTCGGCAAATGCAGATGCGTGTGCACCTCCCTTCGATGAAAGTCTGATTCAATGGCGGGGACTCCTGCAGAAAAGTAGCTATTCCAGCACTGGACACAACTGCCTAAAATGCAAAGCAACCCAAAAAAGGAAGACTAACTTATCATAAAGAGTCTACAAGACGACAATGTTGCTAACAGGTTAGCCTTCTGCTAACCTGAGACAAAGGCTCAGGGCTGCAGCTTCAAGTTCATGTTCATGTGGTGAATGCACTGTGTGCAGCTCTACAGTGAAATTGGATTAAATGAATAAATGTATGGGAAACACTGTGTTACTATGACAGTAGACTCACAAGTCAGTCTTTAGACGCTTTGCTTAACTAAAGGTGGAGATCTCAGATTGTCTGGTGGCGAGACTACTATAACAGTAATACATTATTTTTATATTTGTATGAGTGCTGTCAAAAATATTGATTTATTAATACACATAAATTCGGAATATTTGAAACAGTTTCCATACTTTCCTCAATATTGATACTGTAAGACTACTTTCTTCTTCTTTGTTTTCTTCAACAGCGACTTGACACAAACACACCCAACAGCTCATTCGTCTCAGTTTCATATGGCCGTTTGTGGCACTTTTTTTTTTATTTGCAATTTTTAGCCTTTTGAATGTGTGACAGTTTCAGAGGTTTTAAACATGTGCACACTGCAAGAAGAATATTGTTTCCATTCATGTAAAAAAAAAAGTTTCAGTTATTGTTAATGTTTACTACAGTCCAGTAGTAGGTACAGTCCTAATCAAGAAAAGTTATGGTTGTCATGCTATAGCCTTGTTATATTTATCTTTTAATGAAAATTTTTAATTGCATGCCTTCATTGTCAATTTTTCCTTGTGGAATTGAAAAAGGTGTTGAATATTGCTATTTCTGAAGCTACTGTATCAAAGCTATCGATTCAAGTGTCATGACTACACTTTGTATGAAGCACATGTGTATGCTTGTGGTCGCCTCATGGTGTATTTCTTATTCACTTATTTATTTTTTGCCATTTCCAGATCTCTGCCTACCCCAGCTTTAATTTAAAACAGTGGTTCCCAACTGGTTCAGCCACGGGGTCCAGACTTCTACTTAATCATTAGTTTGAGGTCCCAGAATTCAATACATTCAGTGTCATACTTGTGTTTGGTCATGTCGCTGAGCTAGTTTGCTGTCTCTGTCAAGTAGCTGTCTGTTAGTCACTCGCTCTACAGCAGAAAACGGCACTTTAAAATAAAGGCTCTGTGCTGGAAATTCACTGTACTTCAAAATAAAGTGTTTCTTTACAAACTTGACATGTTTGCAAATCACTTGTGGCCTATTCAGAATGGGCCTGTGACCCACTTTTTGACCTCGACCCACCAGTTGGGAACCAGTGATTTAAGAAATCAAGAGTGGATTTTTTTCCCCATGAAATCTTTTCTCATATTTCTGACATAATATAATCTTGTTAATTCGGAAAACACAGCAGATTTTTTCTGTCAAGTGAATGCATGACGCTCCTGTAATAAGGTAAACATTACCTACTACACATCAGATTCAGCATATTAGCAACGGCACTGTGAGCATCTCAGTACACCGAGATTAGCCTTTTGCCCCAAGCCTCACATCGCTGAAGACTAGTCTTGTGAAAACACTGGTCAACTTTTTTCAGCTTTACTACCCTCTGCGGTTAAAATTGAATTGTTGCATAAGTGTACTCTTTATTGGGCCTCTGTAGAGAGCATGCACAGTACATGCTGAGCAGGTGTTTCTTTTGGTAACATTGACGTCACATCAGGTACAAGGAAAACCACATTAAAACATGTCAAATTAAAAAGGCTTCAATAGCCTAACAACAGTGTGAGCAATGTATTCCTGCCTTTGATCTTTAGAGAATAATTAGTTCTCAATAATATTTGCGAAAACTGTTAATATACCAAACTGAAACCAATAAAACAATATTTGACCACGGTCCTGCCCTGTTTGACTGCACCTTAACCTCACAGACAACAGATCCATTCAAAGGTTTAACACAACCAGAGGCATCACAAATCAACGTAATAGCAAATAAATGTTCTTTTCCAACTCTGAGTAAGTAAAATACAAATAAAAAAACATCACTGCGAATGAATCACAGAGTTACTGATTAGCTAGTTGAACACACAAATGCAAGGCTGCTTTTGTCACTGCCGTGCTGATGGATTACTTTTTCTCCTATGAAACTGTGATTCAGTGCTCAAATAATCCGACAGCAAAAGCCAAGAGATGTCTCATCCAAAGACTAATAAAGTCCCTGTTTGATCAAAGTCGAGAACATCAGTCTCCTGTCATCACAGCGCCCTCATCGACCCCAGAGCCAAATCTCATTTGAAACACTCGCACAGTACATACAGTAACTATAGTGATTGAATTACATGTTCTGTATTGATGCACAACAGAAAACAGTTGTATCCTCTCAGATGCAACATTCGATACATTTTTATTTAACATAATAGTTTGGTCACGAGCACAAAAACCAAGCCACAAACTTTCAGTTTTCGTAAATGAGGCTGCTGCCTACCAAACTCATTTTGCAGAGATTTTCCACAGGGATAACTAACTCTTGAGATTAATTGGAGAACTCAAACTTGACTTCAAACTGGAGCACATACTCACATACAGAGGCACCTTCCTCCTGCTGAGCTCCATCTGCAACAGCAACTGCGGGCAAAGACACAGACACAAGATGAGCAGACATTTGAGAAACAAAGATGAAAACTCAAACACGGTGTAGCCATGTGACTCCTCATATCTGTTTTGGTTATTTTGGTTATTCTGCCCCCCCCCCATCCTGAAGAGATTATCAAACCTCATCTGTGCCAAGCAGAGTCAGAGGTCCTCCGATGAGACAGGACCATCGTTTGATCTCAAGTATGTGAATAATGATTTTAATGGGGATGCTTTCTACCTTAGTGTGTGGAGACAGCACCAGAACACCAAATATGCCCCAATCTGATTTGCAGGCAGTGTGTAGCCTACTCCTGCATGTAGGCCTGTGTGTGTGTGTGTGTGTGTGTGTGTGCTACAGCTGGAAATCGATTAAGTTTCAGTGCTGCAGGGTTGAGATCTGTTCTTTATCAGTTCTGCTCTTTAAACTGGAAACAACAGCAAGGTCTTAACACAACAGTTTTTAAATTAATTTGCTTGTGCAGTCACACTATTTATTGCATTTATAATTATTCCTATATATGATAATTATATCTAATTATTCTCATCACAACAGACCAAATATTGCAAAGAACAAAGACAAATCAAGAGAGCAGGACTTTTGTAACTGTGCTAGCTTCATGACAGACACACAGCTCAACACAGGTGTAATAATGATGGCACTCCACTGGATAATTAGCATTGATTACCACAAAACACGACAGAATTGCTTTGGAAACCTTGTGTTTTTGTTTCCTAATGATTTAAATGAACTCAACACAGTTTAATGCTGACCTATTTAGCTGCAGAATAAATTTAAGGCTCTTTTTACAGGCTGTATTTCCCCACTCGACACTGACATGTTAGCAAACTGTCACTAATGTCACAAGCAACACACACGTTGAAGAAAAAGTCAGCAGCTGGTAGAAGAGGGGTTAACATGACTGACGTACTTACCTTCACAGGAGCTCAAACTCCGGCAGAGGAAACCTTAAATTCAGCCCAAAAACAGAGCCCTAACTCGGGTACATCCTCCCTCTGCTAAGTGCTAATTCAAGTGTCGCTGTTAGAAGCTACAAGTTGAGAAATGGCGTTGAGTCGGAGCAGCAGCTGTTTCCAATGTGAGCTGCAGCCTCCACTGACACAGCATCCTCCCCTCTGACTGTCAGTGTTGATGCTTTCTGTCTTCCGTCTGCTCAAATGCAAATTCCTCCTTACATGAGAAAGTTAGCTGATTCTTTGAGGTTACAGCGACCCCTAGTGGAAGGCGATAAAACAGCGACCAGTGTGTGGAAAAGGGTGATAACAACTACATCAAGGATGGCCTCAACTTGCTTTGAAAAAAATTGTAAAATGACAGGAAGCCAGGGGTTATTCAATTTAATTTAATTTAATTTAATTTAACTTTATTTTATTTTATTTTATTTTATTTTATTTTATGCGCTGTTGACGGTTCCTGTGTGCACAAATCCAGTCGCCCTGCATAGGTCAGGTGCACAGGGGCGTTTTAAGGATTTCAGGACATTCAGGGCTTAGCCTGTACCTGTACCTGTGTCGTGGGGTCCAAGGGATCCTCCCCTGACATTTTTTATTATATTATTATTATTATTTATCAATTCTATTACTTTATTTTTATAGGCCCACGCCTATCATCGAAACACCAGTGAAGAACGGTACCCACCTAATGACCCCAATAAAGCTTTTACCCTCCCTAACCCCTCCACCCCTGGCTCCTCCAGCATGGCTCCAACTATAACCCACAATTGCAAGTATGTGCAACAACAATCTACCAGTTAAACTCCGCCTCAATTAAAGTTCGGTTCGTTTTCCTCCTGCTAGTTTCTTCTCTCTTCTCCCCTCATCATTATTGATCATTATTGCAACAGCTTCTATTCCTGCCTCAGTCAAAACAACCTTACAATGACGTCAGATTGTTCACAACTCAGCTGCAAGGCTTTTAATAAAAACCAAGAAGCATGACCACATCACACCAATTTAGCCTCTTCATATTGGCTCCCTGTTTGTTTTAGGATTGACCTTAAAATCTTACTAATTACTTGTAACATTCTTCATGGCCTGGCTCCAGATTACATTTCAGAGCTGTTAGTTCCTCATTAGCCTTTACATAGTCTGAGATCCTCGGGCAGAGGTCATCTGCTTGTCCCAGAGTCAAGACTGAAGACCAAAGGGGACAGAGCTTTTGCCACCAGGGCCCCGAGGCTCTGGAACGACCTGCCCGAGGATATAAGGCTGTCTTAGTCAGTGACTTTGTTTAAGTCTCTCCCAAAAACATACTTCTATTGGAAAGCATATCCTAACTTAACTAGATGACATTTTAAGACATGTTATTTGTTTTATTTTTCTTGTGTTTTAATTGTGTGTACTTTTATTGTACAGCACTTTGTAACTGTGTTTTGAAAGGTGCTATACAAAGAAAGTTTTCATTCAAAGTACAAATACAAATTCCCAGGGTGAATCTTTTTACCTTTACTGTGATTTAGAAAATGGTCAGGGGGCCCCTGGCACCCTGTTGCAGGCCAATCAGGCTGTTTCCTGGCTCAAAATGAGGTGGAGGTGGTACCATTGCAATCATGTGCACACATATGCATATGTACTGCGCCTTCAACTAGCAAAAGCAAACACTTCTTACAAGCTTGTTTTAGGAATATTAGAAATTGAATACAACTGAAATTTGTCTTTGGCTTCTCTCAAAACATCAAAGTGCATACAGACACACAACACAATACACCATTAAAAACTTACAGTTAAACCATATTTAAGATAAAACAGAGTAAATGGGCAGGTGGGAGCAATAACTTATATAAATAGTAAAAAAGAGCACATCTTATAACAACAGTAGTGTTCCTGATACAGTCATCCTGTGTTCATTGCCTGTATGGCACAGGAAATAAAGGACTTCTGTTCCAACTGGCTCTATGGACCTTAAATCGACACCCAGACAGGAGCAGCTCAAACTCTGAGTGAAATAGAAGTGAGGCATTGGCAATTACATGTTTAGCCTTCCTGTGTACAGCACTGTCAGATATAGTGTTGAGTTGTTTCTGTGACTTGCCGATCATCTTGTCAGAGCTTGTTTTTGCTCCTTGCACTCAGGTTGCCACTATGCTGTAATGTTAAATGGTAAAATGCTTTCAACCAGGCTTCTGTATGCTGTTACAAGTGTGTCTTGTGAACACTGAAGCTCTTCAGCTTCCTGACAAAAAACAGTGACACTGACTGGCTCTCTTGAAAATGCTCTCTGAGTTTCCATTAAAAGTTAATGTCTGATCAAAAACTGTGCCCATGTACTTAAATTGTTTCACTTTTTCTATTGGGTGTGATGACAGGGAGGATATGACTGGTTCCATTTGGCCACATTCATCTCCAGTTCACTTGCCCGACCCCTGTCCCTGAAGAACAGTGACCTGGCTGAGGTAAGCCTCTTTGTACATGAATATTAGAATATTGTATGACTGGAAAAAACTAAAACCATTAATATATTTGGCTAAATTGTTACATGAATAATCTGTTGTGTCTATAATGTGAGTTCCTGGATAATTGTCAGTTGTCTGTTGTGATCTCAGTCATATTTGTTCTTAAAGTTTAGTGAAGGAGCTTATCACATGACCTGGTTAAGCTATGTTTGTTTTAAAGCAATCCTCACACATTTTTTATGAGACACGTATAGGACATACTATCCTTTTACTTTTTAATTTTAATTATTGTACTTAGCATATGTAGCAGCCACGTTCTGTGATGGGTCACAGTCCAAATGTGGGCCGTGGGTCCATTCTGAATGGACCACAAGTGACTCACGAACATTGTCAAGTTTGTGAAAAACACACTCTGTTTTGGAGTACAGTGAATTTCCAGCACAGAGCTTTTATTTACAAGTGCTGTTTCCTGCTGTAGAGTGAGTGACTAACAGACAGCAACTTGACAGAGACAGCAAACTAGCTCGATGACATGGCCAAACACAAGTATGATGCTGAATATATGAAACTGTGTGGACCTTTAACTGATGACTAAGGAGAAAGCTGGGGCTCATGGCTGGACCAGTTGGGAGCCACTGTTCTAATGTATGAACTAATATGGTTTACAGATGTCCTAACCTTTGTAAAGGGGGGAAAATTTTGATTTAATAAAGTACTTTATTTGCTTAAATTTCACCGGTGTTAATGTTCTCAGTACAAAGCAGCATGAGTAGCATCCACAAACACTGTTTTGCTGTGGTCCATATCAGACAGCTCTTTCCTTCCTCTTGGCAGTTTTGAACTTTCCCAGTGCACTGTGCTGATAATGATTACACCACCACATTGGCATAACGCCACATTTGCGGTTACAAATGACAAATGAAAACCCTGCCAACTCTGGCCTGCCAGGTCTACACTGAGTATCACTGCCCTTCATGTTGAAACATGTATCATCAGTAGAAATTTAACACCATCTGAACACAATTATGATTAGTCAGTTTCCATATTACAAAGATTTATTTATATCTGCTTATAAAACATTTGCCAATGCCAAATATTATGAAAACACAAAGCAGACATTAACAGTTAAATCATTCAAACACACAAGCGCACGCACACACACACACCACATTTACATTTGAAAGTGTAATTACAAGACCTCAAATAAAAACACTTTACTTTACCATTCACACATTCAGAGATTGTTCATACAGTAAATGTATGTTCTCTTTGTTGCCTGTTGTGTTCTCAGTCACGGCAAGTTAAAACATCAGAGTGAGACCATGGGCTTTGTCAGTCTCTTAAAAACCTGTACCAAAATGTTTCTGTTTGGTGACATGCAGCCGGTCATGTCAGGAAATGTGTGTCTGATGTTTCAAAAAGAGGTTTTTTTAGAGTTGTGAAGGCACTCTAACCCAGTCTGACGCAGTTCTGCTCCTCTACAAGCCTCAGGTGGCCTGAAGCTGTGGTCTTGAGGTACTCGCTTCTCCCTGAGCCAGGCCGTTAGCCCTGCTGACGCCAGGGCATGGAACCTCCTTCTTAGGGAGGGCAGAGGCAAACATTGTGTCCAACATGCCCAGCACCTCCAGGAGGTCCTGCTGGTAGTCGATCTCTCTCTCCAGCAGATCCTGCAGACGCAGCAGCTGTCGGTCCACGACTGGTGACTGGCCGATTATTGACTGATAGATGTCCAGGATCATCTCAGCTGCTGTGACGAGGACGGGAGCAAACCTGGGGTCAACCACGTTCCTGGAGAATAAACGGAAAAAAAGATTTAAGTTTTCATGTGCACTTGTACTTCTGCATACATGCAACCCAAGTAAATGCAATGCAATACTTGAGTTATTAAGTTTTATCTGTGTCTTACCCTATGAGGAAATTGAGCAACCGAGCAAGTCCCTGTTCATCCCTTCCTGCCAGAGCGTTCTTCAACGTTCCTCTCCGGTCCAGCTCCTTTATGACAGCAACTGTAATCTCTGGCTTTCGCAGTCTTGTCCATGTCTATAAATTAAATTGAATATACTTTATAATAAGGGCAATATCCAAGACAGCCATTTAGCTAGCAACAGGAAAGAAGCATGAGTTACTGCTTTATACTGCAAATTGAAAAATGACCACTTTGATTAACCTTAAGAAAACAATTTCACCTTGTTGATAATATTATAAATGCATGAAATGTGTACCTCCAGAGCGGTATCCAAAGCCTTTGATACATTAAATTTCTTGAGCTGCTTGTCGTATTTGGCCAAATGCTGTTTCACTGGCTTGCTGACGAGATAATCGTCCTGGAAAAAGATCGAGAACAAAGAAATCAATTAGCAATGATGACAAAGAAAAGTAAAGTAATTAGTCATGGTACGTTTGACCTTGTCTTCTCATGGAGAATAATAACTCAGTAGACCACATCATATCTCAGACTGCTGACATCAGCTACTGCGTGTTAACCAAATGTAAACACACCTGTTTAGGGACGTAGTTCTTCCCCTTCACAAAAACACGATATGAGGGTCGTCGCCTCTGTTGCCCAGAGACTTCCTTTGACTCTTCAAGGCTCTTCCTGTGTTTGATACTCAGAATACTGTTGGTCATACCCACGACGATGGACTCATCGTTCGGCTGAGGAGAGAGATGCATTCATAGTTTTAATGTCAAGAATTCCAGAGCAGACATAAAATAAGACAAAATCAGTTCACTTCCATGACGATTCATTTATGAGTCTGTCAGAGAGTTTTAAAGGGCTGTCAGAATTCTTGAGATAATCATGAAATTCAGTCGATGGATCACTCAAGAGATCATCATTCAACAATTCCTTCAATACACAAGAACCTGGAGTTACTGCCTCGTGGTTGTATGCCTCCACCAGCCAGTCAAGTCGCAGTTACAGTTTACATCTATGTCTGTCCAGACTCATTTGTAGCCATGACACAGAAGATCTTAATAATCACCACAGTTTCAAGATGGGCACCCAAGACCAGTGTCACCAATTCAGTATCTGACCAAATGTCTCCCCTTCTCTTCCTGAGGTATGGTGTTGAATAAACATTATTGAAAAGTGTTTTTGCAGAACATTATTATGTCACAGTGAAGTTGACCTTTGACCTTATGGATATAAACTGTCATCATTTCATTCTTTAGACATTTATGTGACATTTTCGATAATCAGTGTACAAATTCTTGGGTGATGGCCCAAAGCATGTTTTCTGAGGCGACAGTGACCTTTAACCACCAAAATCTAGTCAGCTCATCCTGGAGTCCAAGTGGACATTTGTGCCTAATTTTAGGACACTGCCTCAGGGCCTGCTTGAGATATCACATTCACCAAAATGGGACAGATGGACAACCCAAAAACACAATGCCTCCAGCCATGTCTGTCATCGACGTGCAGGCAAAAACACAATCAGCTCCTGCAGCCTGACACTGGTATAGACCATGGCTACAGCTGGGACAGCATCTCTTTTTAGGAGTGCATGTTTTGTACATATTAAGATGACTGTGGTGGTGATAGCAAGGGAAAATACAAAAGCACTGAGAGCCCAAAGTAAAGAAAAAAAGGGTTATCTGTTCACATGAGGCTGCACAGTGTGTTCTGGAAATCCTACACCTTCATGCCAACACCAAGAGGAGAGAATGTACTGATTCATCTATCGATTTAAACCTCTGGTAATACTGGATATTTCTGTTGACTGCTTCAGAAACTGAATCTGTCCGTTTGCAGCCTCAGAGCTGGTCCTTCAAATCACAGCTTCCTCTGCAGGTGCACCTCAGATACAAGAAATTTTTTATCACTTTGCATTGAGGTTTTTAGTTTATAGACCACAGTCAGCCAAATAAGGCTTTTCCCACCTCGGGTGACTTATAACTCAGCATGTAATTGTCATAAATTTTGCTTTGCTTATTTGAATTCATCTTTCTATATTTCATTTATCTTCAACCATGAAAAACTGGTAATATAACATGATGATTGGTTGAATCTAAATACTTACAGCCAGAGCCAGACTGAGGATGGAGGCAGCGTAGTCAAAGTTGTGGACCACTTTATAGTTGGTTGTGTTGTACACCTTCACATGCCTGGAAAGACAAACAGAGGCTCTATGTTAGATCAGGTTCATATAAAATGAGAGCTATAACAGACATGCATACTGTAACATACACCTGCCCCTGTACCTGTCCAGAGAAGCTGACAGCAGTCTCTCTCCGTTGTTGCTGAGACATAAACTGGTGACAGTTTTGTGATGGTTCTTCAGAGACACCAGAGGCTGGCCTCCTTTTAGCAGATCCCACACTTTCACAAAGCGGCCACCTAAAGAGAGTGAAAACATTTTTAAAAATGTCCTGGATAAACATTAGTAAATATAATGTTGCATGTGTGCATGAGCGCAGTCATTTTCAGGGAGGCCATTGCGTAGGAAATCCATTTCATGTTGTTCTTGTCCTGGCCGACATCACAACCAAACATACAATAGACTTAAATGCTGTTGTCTTCCTTGTTTGTCATGTCCCAGCTCATTCAATTTTCAACCTGTACTAACCTAACAAGGCTGAAGGACCCTTATATTCACATCCTTAAACACTAGTAACAGAACTTGAGTTTGGCCTGACAACAACAGGGCACATTTCCTGGATGCACTGACTAAATGATGGTGATGATGATAACGGCTACCCACCTGCAGAGACGAGGAGTCCCTCTGAAGGATAGAGAAGAAGACTCTCCACTGGCTGACCGTGGTCCATGGTCATCACACTCTTATCCGTTCTGGCATCAAACAGTTTCAGCGTGTGGTCGTAAGATCCTAGGATAACAACAGCAACTGTTAGTCGAACAAAAACAGGCTAAACTCCTTCATCCTCATCCTCCTCTTTCTAGAGCTCATTTAACTTTTTCTTACACCAACAGCATTAAAAAGTTTCTCCATCTCACCAGTAATGAAGAGATCTCTGTTGAGTTTGCTCGTGACACCACAGCGAATGTAATCTGTGTGTTCTTGGTAGGTGTTGAGCTCAGTGGCATTTGGGATGTCCCAAAGTCGACAGGTGTAGTCGTCTGACCCTGTGAGGATCTGGTAACGGTCTGAGGTGAAGTCTGTGACGTGTACAGCCCTGAGCAGAAATAAAATGAGAGACAAAATTCATGTCAGTTCACTTTGATGACCTGATGTTATTAAGACAGTAAGTCAGTTTAAACGTTGTCAGAATTCTTGAGATCATCATAAAATTCAGTCGATGGATCACTCAAGAGATCATCATTCAGCAATTCATGTTTTAAGGCTAGGACAGCAAAACACGATCAGACAATGACACATGGGATACCTACTTTGTGTGCCCTTTGAACATCCTGATTGCCACCTTGCCGCTGACATCAAACAGCCGGACCACAGAGTCCTCACATCCCGCCACGAGCAGCTGACCGTCTGACCTGAATCTCCCACAGTATGCAGTATCCTTAAACCGCGTAAATGTCTTCACAGGCTCCTGCGAGAACGGCCCATAAATATGGATCTGTAGAGAGACCAGAGTTAGAACGAGAGACTGCATACTGATACTTGATTATTCATGAAGGGAACACTGATTTAATTCAATTCATACAGAGAAGCCAACTTACTCTTGTGAATGCTGTCACAGCAAAGTTATGTGGAGCCACTGGGGAGAAGTCTATGTTTGTAATTGCTCCAAATTCTTTTATCTGGATTGGAGCCTGTCAGAAACAAAGGTGCATTGTTAAGACTGAGAAACAAAATTAAGGATGTGCTTGTCTTGCTCACAGTAATAATACGACAGTAGAGGAGACTCACCTTGTAGTTTCTCCAGTACAGTGTGTCTTGTGTGACTTTCTCTCCAAGTTTAGGGTATACTTGGATTTTTGTAGGTCTAAATGCAGCCATTTCTGTGTTGATCACAATGCTCTTTGTCTGTCAATATACAGAAAACAAAACATGGATATTAAGTTACAGCAAGAGATGTGACACTGGGGGTAGTTAACCTCTTAAACCCCACTAATCTGCTGGTATGTACTTTTAAACAGACAATGTTCAAACCAAGACAAATGTATTTTAAATTTTAGTTGCAGATAAAAAAAGTTGACAATCCAGCCCAGTGTAAACATGACATAGCTTCAAAAAGGAGCTGGAACAAGCGAACAGAATATGACACTGTCAGACAGAGTGAGAACAGATGGTTTGCCACAACCTTAAATCTATTTAAGGGAAAATAAACGTGGTAAAATGGATGGTAAAGGGGTCAATGGCTTAACCAGGATTGTGTGATGTAAAAGACTACAAAAGAGGGCATCAAATTCAACAACATGCACTGAATGGCAACAGAGGTCACACTCATTGAGCATCACAAACCACCACACTACCGGTCTGAAGGCTAAGCTAACAGGTTCACTACTTTGAGACAGTTGATTTATTCACTCAAGTTTACGATTGTGCATTAAGAGAGCTCAATAACGAAGCAGAATTCCACAGTCAAGTGGTTTAATTACACGTAATGTTAATGGTTTGAGAACGAAAGCAGCGTATTAGACAGACAAGTTACCTAAGCCAACGTGTTCAGTACTTACAGCAAGTTAGTTAGCACGCCTAGCATTTTCTACCATAAACTGCTTTCCGATTATTCTCACCTTTGAGCGAAAATGTGCCCGAGTGCAGTCTTGTTTTTTAAGTACGATGTGTTAAAATTAGATTGCACCGATGTTGTTAGTCCAAGTAAACCAAAAGTTGCTCATTTTAAGGAGTTATCACGTTGCGTCTCGGTGCACTGGAGGACGCCATGATTACAAACGTGACTACATCCGGTATGAATGGCTTATCTTTATTGTTCACTGAAAGGAACATTTTTTCTTCATCTTAAAATATAATTTTCGTAGCACAGGCGCTAAACGTAATATTTTACATTTTTATCAGGGTTATATATTCAATAGCTCATTTAATTGTATTTATAAAAAAATAAATCTACTTCCTTTTGGCGAAATGTGGCAGAAATACTAATTTGATCTATTTATATTTATTAATGTAATGAATAGTAGTTTAATTTGTAATATTTTAAGAGTTTGTTAAAACAATTTAGCTACTACCGTAAAATCTTCTTTTTTTAAAAAAAAGCTTCAAGAGTTCTTACTATAAGATGATTTTAGAAAGCAGGTCATTTTTGGACGTCATTCCCGTGACTTAAAAAATTCTGAACGGACGGATTTAATACTAGAATTTAAGATTTAAGACACATTTTGAAAACCTGCGGACAGTTCCGGCATGTTATCGACCTGTGTGCGTCACTTCCGGTCTTCCCTCCTTTCTCTGAGCTTCTGTCGACTGTGTGGCCCGCGTGTTTACACACTCCCAGGTCAGTTCAAGTCTCTGTAGCCCTTTAAGCTGTCAGCCTCGTGTAAATTTGACTTTGTAGAGGAAGAACTGTCCTCTGTGTCACATTACAGCCCGTGGAGGAAAAGGTAAACTATACTTGAATGCTAGCATCAGTTTGAAGAGGCCTGAGCTAGCTGTTTAGCTTGGCTAGTTAGCCAACAAGCCGACAGTTCAGTTGTCAGACTTCCTGAGAGCCCGGTTTAAGAAAAATAAACCTCCCAGTCTCGAAGGTTTAAACATCAAGCATGAGCCCACAGCACATCTTGCTCTCTCGCTATGACACACTAGGAAACATAAGCTCGTAAAGCTATAAGCTAACTGATATCTGTTTGCTTTACATAATGTTGAGAGCCTAACTTAGCCACTAACTGTAGCCGACCACCTCTGTCTGATTCATGCAGAACTTGAGTCGAGACTAAAAAAGTGTGCAGCTATTTTTGGGCTTCTGGCAGCTGTTCATTCTTGCTCGTTTGCTGTGCCAAATGGCGAAACGACTAGGGGGATTTTGGGGGAGTTTTAGGTTTGGCACTTCACTGTAATTGCAAACCCTATGCATCTAATGAACTGCTGGAATCACACATTAGGTGTTTACAGTTTAATCACCTGTCAATTTGTTAGTCAGTAAATGTAGACGTGTTCACAGTTTTGCATATTTCCCTGTTATTGATTCTCATTTCAAGATCAGATTATTAGTATGCATGTAGAAGGATGTCTTCACTAGAAAACGGATGTTGCATGGATGAAGTTGGTGGAATGATTAGTGGTGCTTTCATATGTCTCCTATCTTTATGTCTGATGAGAAAGTGTTACTTCCGATTGACTAAAGGTAGTGACTAAATATTTGACCATTTGTGTGGCTCTTTCCTGTGTTAGATGAAGGAGTTGATAATGAACCAGGAGAAGCTCGCCAAACTGCAGGCGCAGGTCCGCATAGGCGGCAAGGTGAGTTGAAATGTGTGCTGGGAAATGACTTTAAAGGTCCAGCATGTAGGATTCAGTAGTGTCATGTAGCAGTGAGGCTACAGTAGTGAAAATGTTCTTGTATATCAAGCATGTAGGACAACTATGGTGGCCTCCGTAAAAATGAGAATGAGCCAGTGTTTGATTTGTCCGTTGTCCTGATATACTGTTGAACAACATGGCACACTCCGTTGAAGAGGACCTGCTCCATATGTAGATATAAACAGCTCATTGGTAAGGTAATGAAAATGTAACATTTTCAGGTGATTATAAACTAATGAAAGTATAGTTGTGAATATTTTGTACCATTTATGCTATTAGATGCCTCTAAATCCTACACACTGGACCTTTAAGAAAATGTTTCATATTTCCCTGAGTCTTGACATTGGGTTATTGGTTCCTATATTCATTGTTGTACTCTGTAGGGGTCGGCCCGCAGAAAGAAGAAGGTGGTGCACAGGACAGCAACAGCAGATGACAAGAAGCTGCAGTTTTCCCTCAAGAAACTGGGAGTCAACAACATCTCTGGCATCGAGGAGGTACAGCAAATTCTTTATGAAAAGCACAACAGTAGGCAGAAAGGTTGTCTTCATGACGGGGTTCTCAGCTTAAAAGTAGAGTAATAAATATAACATGCAGGGTTGGAAATTTGCACCAGCCACCGGTCAGATGCCAGTAAAATATGTAAGTAGCTGCTAGATTTGCTGAAGTTGCCTGCCAAAAATACAATGGTAATCTGTTGAGAGTGGCTGGTAGATTTTGGAATCCACCTGTCACAGTGTCACAGGGACAAAACAGTTAAATTTCCCATCTTGCTAATGTGATACAAGAGGCGAAATTTGACAAAAAAGGGACTCGAAAAATTACAGATTCTTAACAAATGACGCCCTCTAATTGTTGTGTTCCACTGCTGAAACAAAGAATTAATTAATCAATTGAAAAAGAAAAGAGAAATAAAAATTACATGTTGTGATATTTCAATTTGATGCTTCATCCTCTGTGATACTGACCTTTAAACTTCGCTCTTCCTTTTTTCCCTTTACTTCCTTTTGTGTTTGACTGTAGGTGAATATGTTCACAAACCAGGGCACAGTTATCCACTTCAATAATCCAAAGGTTCAGGCCTCCTTGGCTGCCAACACCTTTACGATCACAGGGCACGCTGAGAACAAGCAGCTCACAGAGATGCTCCCAGGAATCCTAAACCAGCTGGGAGCCGACAGTCTAACCAGCCTCAGGAGATTAGCAGAGACCCTGCCCAAACCAGGTACCCACAACTCTCTTTAATGATCTGTTTGCAGGTATCAGTTGTGTTGTATGCTGTTTTTTTTAACAATCTGTTGTTTGTTCTTCTTCCTCCTCATAGCTGGAGAGAACAAAGCCCCCATGGTTGCTGCTGAAGAGGATGATGATGATGTCCCAGGTAAGCAAATTTACACATCCCCTTTCCAAACAAACATTTGCCTAACTTGTATTATTAATCCATTGGAGCATTATATTAGCCACATTAGTAACAGTGCAGAACAGGCTGACCTAGATGTTTGCATATGTGTCTATCACATGGAACATTTATGATGTCATGTCTAGTAAGTTTAGTCTGAGTGTATCTGGATGCGTTTCTAAGAACATAATACAAGCTTCTGTCACTGACAGAATTTCTGGATATTTAGGGCTGATATTTTAATTCATATTTAGTAACTAAGTTGTATTTGTATGCCAGATAATTTTTATCTTAGTCAAACATTTTCTTATCAGTCACTGTTGTCTGTCCTCTGCCCCTCTCCCCTCCCCTCTCTGTTTCCTTTTTCAGATCTTGTTGAAAACTTTGACGAGGCTTCAAAGGACGAGGCAAACTAACCAACACCAGCGACTATTTCAGAGCCCCTCTTGACTCACCGTTCTTTGTCACAGCAGTATTTTATAATTGTTCATCTCTGTAACTGCTCTGTGGCTACAAACAGAAGTTGCTTTTTAATTGTAACCTTGACAATTAGGCTAAAACAAGTAAAATTTACTTTTTTATGGCGACTGTCACGTAGCCTTTTGTTTGATTTGCCTCGTTCTGCAGTACAAATGACGTTATTTAATTCAGTGGAATGTGCAAACCTTTTTTCTTTCACACGCTGCCTCTCCTGCATTGTCGTGCCCACACATCAAACATGTATTGGTGGAATTAATCATGTAATAAAAATGACGTTTACTCATGGTCCTAGTTTGCTCATTTTCCTCAGGTGATGAGGTAATGGAACTCAGTAATAACTAAACGTTGACTATTTGTCTTCACTGACTGCAGTAAAAGCAGTATATGTTATCTGTAGGTGTAAGCCTGTCGTTGACATGTGAGCTCAGTACTGTTGTGTGTATGCTGACGCACTTGACAGACCACAGCCCAACACATACTCTTATAATTAGTGTGTAAGTGGGGAAAAGCTTCAGATTGCAGTTAAATGTTAAGTGTAACCTTTAGGTGGCATGTATAGATGGCAACTTTGATTAAAGTTGACACGTCTTGTTCCATGATGTCAAAGGCTGACAAATGTGGTGGAAATCCATCCAGTGTGGACAGACTGTGACATAGAGCTGTATGCATCAAGCACAGACCAGTGTAGCTCCCTCTAAAAGGTGAAGTACAGTAGTTGCTGTGCATAGCCCCATTCATGATTTTCAAACATGATTTTAATGTCCTTTTAAATAGTCTCTTCTGTATGTGGAATAAAAGAATGAACTTAACTCCTTTTGACATTCTGTATATCAAGTTAGAGGTGTGGCAAATTGATCGATTTAGCTGATTATTTCAAAACTCAGAGCTGTACCAACAGCAAAAAACAAGCCTCTTTCACATGCACCTTGAATGGTAAATGGTCTGCCAGAGTTCTGTGTCACTGTGAAGCTGGAGCTGGAGTTAACTTTTCATCTAAAGTGCTGAACAAATTTTCTAGCTCAGGACCTTGGAGCTTTTCTGTAAATCACTGAAGCTCTGGTTGAAACAGCAACATACTGGGGTAAAGTTTTTTTTTAAAAAAAGATTACAGTATGCCTATACAAGATGGGTTTAACATCAGCACTAAGGTGAGACTTAATACACATGAGGCGAGGTCACCTGTTGATGCCACTAAATATCAGCTGGCAATGTATCTGTGCTGAATTCTGATGCTCAATATGCAGCCAGTTAAACACTCAACCGACAATGTGTGTGTCATGCATGAAAGGGTCCCAAAGGTTTTCTGAATCAGGGGCACAAAAGAAGTAATACACAGTGAGATACTCAAATCTATATTAAGACGACATTGGTTAAATGTGTTTTTGTGGTTAGGTGTTGAAACTTGTTGACTTCTCTCTTGAGCAGTCTTGACAGTGCTGCTGACCACTTTGTAAACCTCAAGGTCTGGGGATTCATATGCAAGTAACACCATGTTCCGAGAATTTGTGGGTTTATTCACATTGATTCATCTGATTCTTAGAAAAAAGAAGTTAGATGACTCAAAGCTATCTTTGACCTTGAAGCTGTGTGGACAGAGACACTGAAACCAAACTGAAACATTTTAAAAACCTGAAAATTACAGTATATAAGCATTCATGACTAGCTAAGATCCACAAGATTACAACTGAACAAAATTAAGTGTCAGAATGATATGTTAAATATGCTTAATGCCTGCTTCACACCACAGACTACACGATGGTCCACACCAATCATCCCCGGTCGTCTTTCACGGCGTGTGTGATGTCATTGGGTTTTTCTTGTCCTATTTTTATTATTATTGCTATTATTTTAGTCACTGTCGAAGTGATGTCCTCAGAGGAAATATCAATAAAACTGGGGTGTTGCTGCCGTACAGTCGTCCACGGCAGCAGATCACTTTGTGTTCCTTTTGGTCAAAGTGACATCTGTGACGGGAACAGTTGTGAACGACAAAAAGAAACATGCTAGACTTTCCCAAAAGTGGTGTCGGTTGTCATTAACTATGACAGACTACATGAGATGAAATGATGGATTATCGTGCACGACACTCATTGTTGTTCACGATCCATGCCAACACCATACGATGCTGTGTTGGGCAAAAATCGGGCTGATATTGTGTAGTGTGAACCAGGCATAAGTTACCATCAATACACAGTTGTCTCTTTCTCGTCAGTAATCATCAAGCCCATACCAGCTGAGGATTGGCCTTGCCTCATCTGTTGTGCATTAATTTGTAGCAGTGACGGACACAGGATGTTTGAAGGGCAGGGGCAAAAAAGAAAAAAGGGCACCTACTGCATGCCATGGGGACGAGAGGGCAGCCAAAAGGGCACATCCGCTCGTTTTCTTCCAGTAGGGCACATCGTCTTCTTTTGATCACTCAAGAGGGCAGCCAAAAGGGGCCACCCGCTCGTTTTTGTTAATCAAGAGGGTAGCCAAAAGGGCACATCCTCTCGTTTTTGTTAATCAAGAGGACAGCTGATAGGGCACATCTTCTCATTTTCGTCACTCAAGAAGGCACTTTAGCGTGGCGTTTTCAACTGAGGTGGCACCAGGGCAGCCAAAGGGGCACATCCGCTCGTTTTCATCATTCGAGAGGGCAGCTGATAGGGCACATCCTCTCATTTTCGCCACTCAAGAGGGCACTTTTACGCGGCGTGGCAAAAATGAGAGGATGTGCCCTATCAGCTGACCCCCCCCCACTACATCCAGACGAGCGAGAGGTTATTCGAGTACATTATATTCTCTACTTGCAGGCTTTTAAGGAACTGAAACATGAAACCACCTATTTCTGTTCATATGACCAAGCAGGTTTCGCAGAATTTTATCTCATAATGTGGTTACAATATGCATGTCACACTTTCTGTGGTGGATTCTATGAAGTGTCCTGCATGTACACACCTGCCCTACTGTAAGAGGACAAAGAAGAATTACAAGACCGCATGCAAAGCTTTGTTTACCATGGAAGTACCTCACGCACAGGTTAACACATGATGTGATCAGATGATAAACGTAGCTGTGAGGATTGACAAAAGACAAAAATGTGAGTGTGAAATAGCTGACATTTGGACCAACAAAATGGGTTTTGCCCCATATGTGACTAATGGCAGGGAGGGAAAGTCCTGATGGGGGGGGGGAATACCTTCAAAAAGGAGATTTTTTTTGGCCAGGGTAATGCTGGGTAATTTCTGGGATGTAAGTGCAGGATTACTTAATGTAAAGATACATAGGTTGATCAATTGTTTGGTCTGTTAAGTGTGAGGAAACAGTAATAAATGCCCCTTGCAGTATCCCAAAGCCTAACATGACAAATTAAAATCACTTACTTACTGTAGACAAAAACAGCAAATATACATCTCTGAGAAGCAGCAACTAGTGATCTTATTTTGGCGTTTTAGGTTTAAAAGGAATAAAAGTATAGTTCTGGCTACTGTGGTATAATATGTTGAAAGTATGTATTAATATCTGGCAGTATACATGTGTGACAATAGTCATATGTGTATAATAACAGTAGAAGTATGACTAATGACTAATGATGGCAGCAGCAGCAGGAGGCATCTGGCAGGACCACGGCAGCAGCACAACCACACACGTCACGCTGTCCAGGCACCGCTGTGATATGAGTTAATCTGAGAGACAGTGGAGCACAAAGGCTCCGGAGAAGAAGCCGAGTTAGTGACATCCAGAATGGCCGAGTTAGCAAGATGCAGTAATAGGATGAGAGTGAGAGAGAGAGAGAGAGAGAGAGAGAGAGAGAGAGAGAGGGAGAGAGAGGGAGCCCGGTGTATTATAGGGGGTCCTCCGGCAGACTAGGCCTAAGTCAGCCTAACTAGGGGCTGGTACAGGGCAAGCCTGAGCCAGCCCTAACTATAAGCTTTATCAAAGAGGAAAGTCTTAAGTCTAGTCTTAAATGTGGAGACGGTGTCTGCCTCCCGGACCGTAACAGGAAGATGATTCCACAGGAGAGGAGCCTGATAGCTGAAGGCTCTGGCTCCTGATCTACTTTTGGAGACTTTAGGGACCACGAGTAACCCTGCGTTCTCAGAGCGCAGTGTTCTGGTGGGATAATATGGCACTATGAGCTCTCTAAGATATGACGGAGCTTGACCATTTAGAGCTTTATAAGTTAACAGTAGGATTTTAAATTCAATTCTGGATTTTACAGGGAGCCAGTGCAGAGAAGCTAAAACAGGAGAAATATGATCTCGTTTCTTAGTTCCTGTTAGTACACGTGCTGCTGCATTCTGAATTAGCTGGAGAGTTTTTAAGGACTTACTAGAGCTACCTGATAATAGAGAGTTACAGTAATCCAGCCTTGAGGTAACAAAAGCGTGGACCAATTTTTCTGCATCTTTTCGGGTCAGGATAGGCCTAATTTTCGCAATATTACGCAGATGAAAAAATGCAGTCCGTGAGGTTTGTTTTAAATGAGAATTAAAAGACAAATCTTGATCAAATATTACTCCGAGGTTTCTTACGGTAGTGCTAGAGGCCAGAGCAATGCCATCTAGAGAAACTATGTCATCAGATAAAGAGTCTCTGAGTTGTTTGGGGCCAAGAACAATAACTTCAGTTTTGTCTGAATTTAACATCAGGAAATTGGTGCTCATCCAAGTTTTTATGTCTTTAAGGCAGTTATGGAGTTTAGTTAATTGATTACTTTCTTCTGGCTTCATCGATAAATACAACTGAGTATCATCCGCATAACAATGGAAATTTATAGAGTGATTTCTAATGATGTTACCTAAAGGAAGCATATATAGAGTAAATAGGATTGGTCCGAGCACAGAACCTTGCGGAACTCCAAAACAAACTTTGGTACGTAAGGATGATTCATTATGAACGTCAACAAACTGAAAACGATCAGATAAATAAGATTTAAACCAGCTTAGTGCAGAACCTTTTAGGCCAATTAAGTGATCCAGTCTCTGCAGTAGAATTTGATGGTCAATTGTGTCAAACGCCGCACTAAGATCTAATAAAACAAGTACAGAGACAAGTCCTTTGTCTGAAGCAATCAGAAGGTCATTTGTAATTTTAACTAGTGCTGTCTCAGTGCTATGATGCACTCTAAATCCTGACTGAAATTCCTCAAATAAATTATTATCATGGAGAAAATCACACAGCTGGTCTGCGACTACTTTCTCAAGGATCTTTGACATAAAGGGAAGATTAGATATTGGTCTATAGTTGGCTAACACCTCTGGATCCAGGGTGGGCTTTTTTAGTAGAGGTTTAATTACAGC